CATTTATACTAAACCATGAATAACAATACCTCAATATAAATTAAAGACTGCCACTCAATTTATTTAAATATATGAAAAAATCAAAAAAATCAAAAAAATCGAAAAAAACAAAAAAATCATGATTTTTTTATAAAAAAATCAAGTGATTTAATCACATGATTTAATCATTTTGATTTAATCATTGCCAACCCTGGTCTAGACACAAGACATACTACTGTCATGTCACAGTGAATTATGCAGCCAACTTGTTAGAAGATGCAACCTCTAGGTGAAGGGTTTCGTTATGCTCACCCTAGGGTGAGGTTATGCTCACCACAGGTCATGGGTCGGGTCACGGGAGCAGGTCACACTCACCCCACTAACCTTGGGTCCCACTCATCCCAAATCGTTATGTGGGTCACACTCACCTCGGGTCGTCGCGTGGATCCCCTTACCCCAGGTCCCACTCACCCCGGGTCATCAGGCAGGTCCCACTCTCCCCACTCACCAGAGCAGGTCCCACTCACCCCGGGTCATCTGACAGGTCCCACTCACCTCGGGTCATCAGGCAGGTCCCACTCATCCCGGGTCATCAGACAGGTCCCACTCACCCCGGGTCATCAGACAGGTCCCACTCACCTCGGGTCATCAGGCAGGTCCCACTCACCCCGGGTCATCAGGCAGGTCCCACTCACCCCGGGTCACCAGACAGGTCCCACTCACCCCGGGTCATCAGGCAGGTCCCACTCACCCCGGGTCATCGGGCAGGTCCCACTCACCCCGGGTCATCGGGCAGGTCCCACTCACCCCACTCACCAGAGCAGGTCCGACTCACCTCTCTCATTGGGACAGGGCCCACTCACCCCACTCACCACGACAGGTCCTACTCACCCCGGGTCATCAGGCAGGTCTCACTCACCCCGGGTCACCAGACAGGTCCCACTCACCCCGGGTCGTCAGGCGGGTCGAACTGCAGGATCCAGTCCACCGCCGGGACGTCCCAGCCCCGCGCGGCGATGTCGGTGCAGAGCAGCGCAGCCGCCGCCGCGCCGCAGAACTGACGGAACACGCGACTGCGCTCAGCCTGCGCCTTCTTGCCCTGCACAATGATACGGTCTGTTCACACGGTCTGTACTTAATGTGTACAGTACAAGCAGGGTCTGTACTTAATGTGTACAGTACAAGCAGGGTCTGTACTTAATGTGTACAGTACAAGCAGGGTCTGTACTTAATGTGTACAGTACAAGCAGGGTCTGTACTTAATGTGTACAGTACAAGCAGGGTCTGTACTTAATGTGTACAGTACAAGCAGGGTCTGTACTTAATGTGTACAGTACAAGCAGGGTCTGTACTTAATGTGTACAGTACAAGCAGGGTCTGTACTTAATGTGTACAGTACAAGCAGGGTCTGTACTTAATGTGTACAGTACAAGCAGGGTCTGTACTTAATGTGTACAGTACAAGCAGGGTCTGTACTTAATGTGTACAGTACAAGCAGGGTCTGTACTTAATGTGTACAGTACAAGCAGGGTCTGTACTTAATGTGTACAGTACAAGCAGGGTCTGTACTTAATGTGTACAGTACAAGCAGGGTCTGTACTTAATGTGTACAGTACAAGCAGGGTCTGTACTTAATGTGTACAGTACAAGCAGGGTCTGTACTTAATGTGTACAGTACAAGCAGGGTCTGTACTTAATGTGTACAGTACAAGCAGGGTCTGTACTTAATGTGTACAGTACAAGCAGGGTCTGTACTTAATGTGTACAGTACAAGCAGGGTCTGTACTTAATGTGTACAGTACAAGCAGGGTCTGTACTTAATGTGTACAGTACAAGCAGGGTCTGTACTTAATGTGTACAGTACAAGCAGGGTCTGTACTTAATGTGTACAGTACAAGCAGGGTCTGTACTTAATGTGTACAGTACAAGCAGGGTCTGTACTTAATGTGTACAGTACAAGCAGGGTCTGTACTTAATGTGTACAGTACAAGCAGGGTCTGTACTTAATGTGTACAGTACAAGCAGGGTCTGTACTTAATGTGTACAGTACAAGCAGGGTCTGTACTTAATGTGTACAGTACAAGCAGGGTCTGTACTTAATGTGTACAGTACAAGCAGGGTCTGTACTTAATGTGTACAGTACAAGCAGGGTCTGTACTTAATGTGTACAGTACAAGCAGGGTCTGTACTTAATGTGTACAGTACAAGCAGGGTCTGTACTTAATGTGTACAGTACAAGCAGGGTCTGTACTTAATGTGTACAGTACAAGCAGGGTCTGTACTTAATGTGTACAGTACAAGCAGGGTCTGTACTTAATGTGTACAGTACAAGCAGGGTCTGTACTTAATGTGTACAGTACAAGCAGGGTCTGTACTTAATGTGTACAGTACAAGCAGGGTCTGTACTTAATGTGTACAGTACAAGCAGGGTCTGTACTTAATGTGTACAGTACAAGCAGGGTCTGTACTTAATGTGTACAGTACAAGCAGGGTCTGTACTTAATGTGTACAGTACAAGCAGGGTCTGTACTTAATGTGTACAGTACAAGCAGGGTCTGTACTTAATGTGTANGGTGGTCCATCACTTACACTGCTGCAGGTGGTGGTCCATCACTTACACTGCTGCAGGTGGTGGTCCATCACTTACACTGCTGCAGGTGGTGGTCCATCACTTACACTGCTGCAGGTGGTCCACCGTGAGAGCGTCCTTTTTGCCAGTCAAGTCGAGCTCCTCAAAGTCCGCCTTCAGGGCCTCCTTCGCCAGGGAGTTGCTGCGCGGCGTCTTCGTTGCACTGAACATCAACGTCTGCCGCTCTTCTAATGGATAATATGAGAAATAAAATTAAGAATTTAATAAATAAATTTAATAAATTAAGAATAAATAAAGTCCTAGCACAAATTAACCTAATTAATAACCTGAGCACAAAGAATAACCTAATATGTGAAAGATCAGGGAAGAATAAAAATTTATTTGTCATTTAAAATTTTAAAAAGTTACCGAGAAAACTAATTCCGTGGCCAGGAAGAGGTTATTGTGAAGTACAAAATGAACAGAAATAGACGCTGCCGTGAGTTGACTTCAACATATCCGCGATGTTGGAGATATTAGAAGGAAATTAGGAAAACAAATATTGAAATTTGTTGGTAACTCACTTGGAAGTCGTAGAAGGATGTCCATCATGGCCTGCGAAAGGGGGAGTTGTAAAACAATTACTATAGTTTGCTGGGGCCATACTTTCAAAACTCGATAAGTGAACGTAAGTACTTACGCTCTATTTTCTTGTCTATGATTGGTGGATTTTGCTTGAAAGGCCGTCAATGATTGGCTGATGAACTTACGATCTCTTAACTTTTTTGAAAGTATGGGCCCTGATAACTAACTTGGCAGTCGTTTGGAGATATTTGAAGGAAATTAGGAAAACAATTATTACAATTTGCTGGTAACTAACTTGGCAGTCGTAGAAGGATGTCCATCATGGCCTCCCTGAAGGGGGAGTCGAGGATCTGGTCCACCTCGTCCATGATGAAGCAGACGAGACGCGCCAGGCTCAGCCTGCGGGTCTTCTTTATGTGACTTAAGACGCGCCCCGGGGTGCCTACTAGTATGGTGCAGCCTGTACAGACACCAGCATCATCATTACACGCCGTCATCAACACAGGCCGTCATCATTACAGGCATCATCAATACAGGCCGTCGTCAACACAGGCCATCATCAACACAGGCCATCATCAACACAGACCATCATCAACACAGACATCATCAATGCATAACATAACACTACTCAAAACCTGCCCTGTGGTGTCCACCAGGATGGTGCAACCTGCGCACCATCATCATCAACCTCACCGAATCACACCATTTGGACCACGCCTTAACTAAAATAAATTCTAAATAAATTCACAAATTTGCAATAATCTCATTGAAAACATTTTGGAGACCAGCTTCATCATCCGTTGAAAATATAAATAAAACAAGTAAAATCAATTAACAAATTAAATTTACACCGAATATAGTAAAACCAGAATGGTGAAACAAATGAGTGCAGTGACAACAACTCTTCAAGCAACAATTTAAAAGATAACAAAAAACGTGATGTTAAGACAGGGTTTTAGTTGAAACATATGCAGTAATTTCAAGAGAGCTGTGGTGGTGCAGTGGTGAGAGACTCAGTCTCTCGCACCCAGCTCCCGGGTTCTCAGTCTCTCGCACCCAGCTCCCGGGTTCTCTGTCTCTCGCACCCAGCTCCCAGGTTCTCAGTCTCTTCCAGCTCCTGGGTTCTCAGTCTCTCGCACCCAGCTCCCGGGTTCTCTGTCTCTCGCACCCAGCTCCTGGGTTCTCAGTCTCTCGCACCCAGCTCCTGTGATGGACCCAGTGATGGTCGTAGAACTACCAGTGGCACCGAGTGCCCTGAAAAACTGACCATCACCTCCCCTCCCTAGTCGCCACTACCAGGGTGGGCAATTACAACAACAACAACAACAATAATTTCAAGAGGGTTAAATCCGGAACACTGAAAGTAAAACTCTAGTGTTGCCTCAAATTTATAAACCCTACTTCACTAAAAATTTAAATTATGTAATATTTTATGCGGTACCATTTTTTATTATCTAATCACAAGTACCTCTAGCCAGCATGAGTATCTCCTGTATGCGGTCAGTACCCCCCATAACCACCCCGCAGGTGAGGGGGGGGTAATGACTCATCAGCTCCTGCAGGACGCTGTGTGTCTGTAGCGCCAACTCCCGCGTGGGGGTTAGGATAAGTACCCCTGTACCTGTGCAAAATATTATAGTTAGATTCTCAATACAATTAACAATACAATAATATAAATACAGTAATCAATACAATAATATACAGTAATATTTTCAATACAATAATCAATACAAGAATATATACCTATATAATAATTCAAAGTTGAGGGGTTATAGGAAAATGACAAAAAGGTATGAACTCAAAGTTATTGGGGAAATTACTCCAAAGTTCAGGTGTTATAGACTAATTTAACAGGTAATGAATAATTTCATTACCTTAAAGTTATAGAGGAGAGAGGATAAAGTTTAGGAGTCGCAGCAGTGGCCACAAAACTACCCTAACAAAATTTTGAGTTGGTAGCGACCCTGAATTAGGAACCGCCTAGGACTTGGACCGCACGTATAAATAGCTTCTCTATGTCCGCCTCGGCTCAGGGTTCGAAAGGCGCCTCTGGGCAGCTTGCTAGCTCGGTATGACTCGGCTCAGCCTACTCTTCTCATACTATGAGGCGACTATCAAGTCAGAAAGGAGATTCTGACCAAAAAATGATTACGATCGGATGGCCAAGCAGACCCTGAATGACTGCACCGAGTGTAAAATTATTCGGCCGAACCCAAGGCTGTTCCCGAAATTCATTAGGGTGGGCTTGTCACACTCAAGTTATAGCGTTTTCATATTTAATGATGTAGAAAAGTATTTTCAATACTTTAATGTGGTCATACATATTATAACTAAAATTTCTGTGTAAAAATAAGTTTACTGAGGCATATAAAATTAGAGCGAATGGTTAACAACTTTTTGGAAGCCACAGGGTGAATTTGAGTCTCACTCATCACTCACCATGACTCGGCTTGAAGTTAAGTCTCACTCACCATGACTCGGCTTGAAGTTAAGTCTCACTCATCACTCACCATGACTTGGCTTGAAGTTAAGTCTCACTCATCACTCACCATGACTCGGCTTGAAGTTAAGTCTCACTCACCATGACTCGGCTTGAAGTTAAGTCTCACTCATCACTCACCATGACTCGGCTTGAAGTTAAGTCTCACTCATCACTCACCATGACTCGGCTTGAAGTTAAGTCTCACTCATCACTCACCATGACTCGGCTTGAAGTTAAGTCTCACTCATCACTCACCATGACTTGGCTTGAAGTTAAGTCTCACTCACCATGACTGGGCTTGAAGTTAAGTCTCACGAGTCTCTCCAGGGCAGGTATAAGGAAGGCAAGTGTCTTGCCAGAACCTGTCTTGGCCGTGGCTCGCAAGTCTCGGCCTTCTAGCAGCAGAGGAATAGCTTTCATCTGCACATGATGCAGCATAAATAGAGACAAAAACAATTGATCTAATTTGCCAACACCTTTATAACAATCTATTGAAGTGAGATTCTGGTTCAAACATTTATTTCAAAAACTTCTCAATACCGGTAAATTCTGTCATTGAGAGCCTGTTCAGGAAATAAACTTTAATAACTTGAAATTAAATTAATCCATTATATAAAGAAAATATTACCTATGTGAAATTATCAAATTAATAAAAATAATTAATCAATTAATAAAACTGAATTTACTGCACAGCAGTAATATTGTACATTTAATGCTCACAGAATGAACAAATTTTAGACTTCACTGCAATCAAGTAAGCAGTTTAAACAGAAATAGAGAATGAAATACTGCTAGATTTTTCTTATAAATGGTCTTTATGCATTAAATATGTTATTTATCAATGTCTTACCTGAACTTCAGTCATGTTTTTGAAGCCAAGACTTTGGATGGCTTTCATTGTCTGGCTAGAAACAAGCGGCTTCAAGCTCTTAAATTTGGTTGAAATAACAGGCTCCATTTTATCAGCTGAAAAAGGTAAAAATATTAAATTTTCAAAAAGTAACAGATAAAGGAGTTTTTCTTTACAAAGTCATTAATTGTCTCTCCTGCTGCTGGAAGGCTTGGCTTCTGAGATGTTTTCTGCAGCCAAAAGTGGAAACAATTTCATAAGTAAACTACTTCAGACTTTGACTTTCCCCATAAAACAGACCAAAGCTGGCAGCTGGACTCAGGCATAACTGAATTAAATTAGCCACAAGAAAATTGTATTGGGCATTTGATTTTTGAATAAAAGATACATGAGTAATGAATTTGATGTGAATAATTTCAATCACTGACAATCAAAAATAAAAAGCTACTTTAAAATGTGCTGACAAAACATAAAATATATACCATCTGATTTATCACCTGAGCAGAGGTTGGACTCAAAAAGCAGGTCAGCTTCATTGATGTTGTCATTGGAACCAGTTAAGTTATCCTCACACAGTTGTTTTTCCTTCTTCTTTCTCTTCAAATTTTTGGTTGAAACGTCATGATCAAATTGGCTGCCATTTTCAGCTGATGAGCATGAATTATCCTTTTTCTTATTCTTGCATCTTTCTTTTTTATGGGATTCATCAAGATTTTGCTCTAATCCAGATATTAATGTTTCCTCCGCTAACATGCTACTTCTTTCAAATTTATTTTTTGATTCTTCTTCTTCAGATTTGCATTCATTATTTATCAATTCTTCATTCAACAGTTCACGTTTCATTTTCTTCTTTTTTTCCCTGGGTGTTTCATGGTTTTCAAGCGCACAAGCCTCATTTGTCAGGTCATCTGTTGACATTTCCTTTCTATTTTTCTTCTTTTTATGCAAATTAGGTTGTGCAGGTTTACATACTTCTTCTTTTAATTCATTTGTCGTAAGATTATTTTTCTTCTTCTTCTTGGGTGAAATATCACACAATGAGTATTTTCTTTTCCTTGTTTTAGAATGATCAGTAGCACCAGAAATTTTTTCTTCTGTTTCCATTCTTACAAAGGGATTTTAGACAAAATTCAAGCACAAAATTCTCCAAAATCTGCAACAGTTTAACAAAATTTTAATACAATTTGCTGCTCATGGAATTGGTTCAACAAAGAATTGTGTTGTAGCACACACACAAAGACTAAGGTAGAATTCTAGGAATGGTGGTTCATATATTCAAGATTAATCCAAGCAGATATATACTGTCAAACTGGATAATAAGATAAGGGACTGGCTGGGTAAATCAGGACAGTTCTGCATCATGGCGCATAAATGTTATAGCAGCACAACTAATTGAAATATGCAAGACTAAAAATAGTAACATAAACTTCTACATTTTTCCTATCTATCTAGCATAAAGAAAGTTAAAAAACCATACATCTACTAGCTCTAAAAATCCCTGAAAAAAAATGTTAAATAATCATTATTTCGGAAAGGTACTTCTGGTAAGGCAAGCACAGGAAACATCAACCTTTAGGGACGTGACTAGAACTTTCCCTCCATTTCGAGAACAATCAGATTCCTACCAGATTAATTATCTCTTACCTAAACGTTAACAAAAGTTCACTATCAGGCTACGAGATTCCAATTGTATCAAAAATTTGTCACATTGGAGCCGCAAATTTCAGAAATAAGTAGAAAAATTCCAATCCTGTAGTTAAGTCAGATAAGCCATAATGTATCTAGGGTATTAGCCTTAGGTATGTAGTACAAAAAATATTTGCCATATTAAAATATTTTGTTAAAAAATTTGCAGACAGGTATTAGCTTTAAAACTTTATTGGCAGACAGAGTTTGCATACCTCAAGCCAAAACAAAATGGCAGCCATTTCCGCCAGATGGGGCATTAAGGGACACAGACACCCAAGGAAAATTGCCAAATAGGGATACTAGTGCTATAGGACACCTAGAAGTAGAAGTAGAAGTCTAAAATTCTTAAGGGGAGTGTCCGGGGTGAAATTTATCTTGGCTATTTACAGACGGATCACTCTGAAATTTGGTACACATATGTAAAACAGAAATCTATGACTTTTTTTGTTCCTGTGAATTTAAAAAAAAAAAGAAACATGAAATTTTTAGAAAACGGCCAAAAAAGGGGGTACCGTAGAAATCTATCTCCTCCCAGGATTTTCAAGGTACAAGATTGAGACACATATCATTTGATGCATAAAGACCATATCTAAAAGTTGTAGATGGCATTTTTTGAAATTCTCATTTTTGTGGGTGTGAGGGTATTTTTCGTAAATTTTTTTATTTTACCTCCCCACACCCCCTTTTTTGCAGAATAAAATCCAAACTATAACAAAATTGCAAAAATGCCTTCTATACTTTCTAGATTTTTTTTGCGAACCGAATGGTACATGGCTCATTGATGTAGCTTCAAAACTCTAGGAGGAGATAGGTTTGCAGTGACAATAAGTTAACTTTTCAGTAGGGCCCGACAAAGTCACACACGCCTCAAAAAAGACATTGAAGGGTGCAAGGTTGCAAGACTAGACGATATTGGAGCTCAATTCATGTCAAGGATGGTGCGAATGATGGCACGAGAACCAACCCATATGACTGCAGGCAGATAACTGAAGCACAGCGTGTTCAGACTAGCTATTCAAGTGTGCTACCATACCGGTAATTTAAGCCTATCTTAAATGTTAAGAACTCCACCACCCCTAACCCTTTCGCGATCTGTTGTGAACGCATAAATCAATGTACAGAGATGGTTTTGGTACCAATAGATGCGTCAGAATGTACCATTAGATGCTTTAAGAAGAGTATAAAAACTGAAAAAGTCAAAATTTACGATTTTGACCCAGACGCTTCCGTAAAACAAATTTACAGTAAAACCTACTAACCTAGGTTAGCAAAGGCTCCAGACTCCAGTTAACAAAAAAAATTTATCTCCTGTCTCACTAATCTCCGCAAAAAATTCACTTACTAAAAAATTATTATCAGTTATCACAAAATGGTGCATAGAATGTCATAGACAGAACTGCGCATCAGCACCAGGCAGCAGGCAACATATAATGAAAGGTAATTAGGGTAAACGCAGTATATTCCTACACATTAAGGACATAGCCATATATGAATGGCTATAAAAAAATCTCCCTATGCGCAACTCGAGTTCTGTTTTCTTTATGTCACTCTCAAAACACCGCACTACGCACCAGCAACAATGAAACGTCACAAACTGTTGACATATTTATTTAAAAGCCTTCAGAATGCAAACCTACCAAATCCATATATTCCGATGCTGTGTGTGACTAAATTTGACATTTTGTGAGACTAAATACGGCCGTTCTTCAAACTCTACTAATTTGTAATTCCAACCCTCTTGTGTTCGAATTCGGATTGCTGTGTGAGCTGTATTGGAATATGACACAGCTCAGAATTAGAACACTATGATTATTGAACACTACTTAATTAGGCTTTTAATTAAGAACTATTAAGCTTTTAATCAAGAAAATTTTAATTTTTGCAAATTTGCACACAGCTTGGAACGAGCTGTGTGTGTCTAATTCCAAGCTGTGTTGGAATTAGTTTGTATGTGTCTAAAACCAGGGTCGGCAATGATTAAATCAAAATGATTAAATCATGTGATTAAATCCCTTGATTTTTTTTATAAAAAATCATGATTTTTTTATTTTTTTGATTATTTTTTGATTTTTTTGATTTTTTCACATAATTAAATATATTGAGTGGCAGTCTGTAATTTATATTGAGGTATTGTTATTCATGGTTTAGTATAAATGTACTATGAATGACAAATTGGTATATAAACTTGTTGCCTTTAGTGTGTATTAGGTTCCAATAAATTGAATGTTTTTGGTACAGAGGCATCAAGTGTGCAATACATTGTACATAGCTAGCAGCTTAGCTAATTCTTATAAGGCTATAAGTAGTCTTTAACTTTTTGACTATTTGTTATATATTGATTACAATATACAATTTAAATGTGTTAGCTAGCTTATACAGGGTGGGGCAGAACTGATTGAACAGTTTTGTAAAGAGTAATGGAGGTACATAAAGAAGAAAATTTATTTTCCTCAAGATTAGCATAACATACCATTTAAAATACTTATGTTTTGAAAACAATATCAGGAAGATGGGGTTTGTTAGCTGCATCACACTGTTGGAGTCGTTCTCGGAAGTTTTCTACAGCACGTTCATACATATGGCAAGGTATGGCCATAACCTCTGCTACAATAATCCATTCCCTTAGCTGTGGTAGGGTGTGAGGGCAACTTCTAAACTTCTCTTTTAGATGTCCCCAAAGAAAGAAATCGCAAATGCTCAGATCGGGTGACCTCGCAAGCCACTGTAAATTGCCCCTCAGAGTCTGGGAACATGCGTTTCAAAACATTGAGTGACATTCGGGTTGTGTGAGCTGTAGCCCCATCCTGCTGAAACCCCATGTCTCCCAATGCTTCATTTTAAACAATGTTTTCCATCATGGGCTGCAAGAAATTTTGCAACATTGCAGCATAGCGATTGGAATTCACTGTTAGGGTTACTCCCTCCTCCGAGAACGACTCCAACAGTGTGTTGCAGCTAACGGCCCTCATCTTCCAGATATTGTTTTCAAAACATAAGTATTCTAAATAGTTTGTTATGCTAACCTCTAGGATAATAAACTTCCTTCTTTATGTACCTCCATTACTCTTTTATTTTACCTCAAAACTGCTCAATTGGCTCTGCCCCACCCTGTATATTGGAGAGGTTGAGATTGTATTGACCTTTTAGGCAATTAAAAAGATTTTCCACCCTAATACGAGTATTCTAATTGAAATATTTAATTTCAATCTTTAAATATATGAATTTAAAACTAGAAACAAAACAATTACAATTATAAGACTATTTATAAAATAATTAAATGCAGTGAATGGATATAAAATATTTGAATTGTGCACATGTTTATTTCAAACAGTGTTAGCTTTTCTCATAACTCAAGTCTCATTTCAAGTTGTATGAGGTTTGTTTGGTTATCGTTCAGTTTATGTTTAGTATTGGTCTGAATTATATGGGAACAGTGCAGTCAGTCAATCGGTCACTACTAGTCAGTGTATATAGAGGGTAGAGTCTGGTAGATTTATAGGACATAAAACTGGCAGATCTATTGATAGCGCTGTGCACTGTGCTATCAGCTACCTATCTGTTATGTGACTCTTCAGTGTTTAGAAGATCTGCATTCCTGAAGTGTTTTTGTATATTGAAGCCAGTTAAATGGTCAATATTTAGCTCATTACCTTGCTCCATACAAACTTTACAAAGCTAATGAATAGACTTTTCAATAATCATTTACCCAAAAATCCCTAAGTGGTAAACAATACCTTGGCCTGTTGGCCAATGGCCATTATTGAAGGCAATAAGTGCCTTTTTTACCACGTTTTTCTTAGCTCGCTTTTGTGTCTGTGATGATCAAATCTTGCAATCAATATTTCACCAACTTTCCCGCTAGCTAGCGCTCTGAAACTTTTAGGGAAGCTCAGCTACCGATAACAATACAATAATCAATAATTTGTTGCACGATCCCAGGCGTATTTATTACCGAACCTTTCTTTATTACAGCCACGCACCCAGATAAATACGGGAACAACAATGTATCCCCTCGAATACAATTTTCTACAGAACTTACAGAAAAGAACTTTCTTTTGTGCATTTGCGTGGCCAACTGAAATGAAATGAATATTATGTAGGATGGCTGACCTTTGTGCACTAGTTATGAACTCTAAAGGAACTCACAAGCAGGGGCTGGGAACCTTTAATGCACATCATCCTCGAGAGGATATTCGTATTTAGACTGCGTATATCGATGATACGTTTCGTATCATCAATATGTACGTTGAGTCAAGTAAATTGGCTCGCAACAACGTTTTTCATGTGTAGCAACTGACTAAAAAGGAGAAAATAAAATACTTAAAAAACTAAAAAGTAGAAAATAAAATGTATAAAAAAAATTTTTAAAGGCCACATTTTTCATGTGGACTCAAAAGTAGAAAATAATTTTTCGGCAGCTACTGATCTCTGTTTGCTTTCATTCTCTTGGTCTTTTGTATTTCAGTTAAAATATTTTACAACATCTAAAACGAAAAACGTGAGGCGCATATGTACTTAATTGTTTGGTGATTACTTATGAATATGATGAATATGATGGTTCATTGAACATTTGATAAGTGTATTGCT